CTCCAGTCAATCGACTGGAGGAGAATGCCACTAAGCCTAGGTGGCCCTAGGCTTTGTTCTCCAGTCGATCGACTGGAGAACAAGCCCTGGGCCACCTAGGCTTAGGCTCCAGCCCACAGGGCCATCCCTCCAGTCGATCGACTGGAGGGAAGGGCCACCTAAGCCTACGTGGCCCTAGGCTTTGTTCTCCAGTCGATCGACTGGAGAACAAGCCCTGGGACACCTATGCTTAGGCTCCAGCCCTGGAGAGCCATCCCTCCAGTCGATCGACTGGAGGGATGGGCCACCTAAGCCTAGGTGGCCCTAGGCTGTGTTCTCCAGTCGATCGGCTGGAGAACCAGCCCTGGGACTGGGATAGACTCTATCCCGGTCCCAGGGATATAGACTTTGTGGACAGGTGAAAGCTGATAGTGATTGGTTGTAAATTTTCTCTATGGTTGACTCGGTAGGGATCTTAGTAATGATCACATTAGGTTTTGATGGGTGTGCATTTACCCAAAAGGTGAACTTGTGGTATGGTTAGGTATTGGGTTTTGTTGTTTTATACATATGTGAAGTTTGACATGATGAAAATCGATTTCTTGAAATTTTCATGTATTATTTGTGCCAAAGTGCCAAGTCAGTGGTCGATATTTGAGTTGTGGTCTGGAAATTGTGAAAACTGGCAGAAAGATAGGTTTTATCCCCAATACAGGCGGTTTCAGACCAGTATTGGGATTAAATCTGATGTTTATTCCAGTTTTGTCAATTTCTGACCCGGGGATTCTGAAATTTCAATTTTGAAATTTCAAGTTGTCACTTTGGCACATGTCGCATTCCGTATGATCGCAACCTCGGAGAGGGGCATTTTCTCGACATAAGCGAAAGAATTCAGTTAGAGTAGTCCTTTCAGCTCTCCCTGTTTCCATCGTCGCTCTCAGACCACGATCATCTAAGTAATAAATCGTTTGTTCATTCTCCAGATGAATGCTCAGTCGCTGTACCGAGGGGAAACGGCCGGCGATTTCAAATTTGAGCAATCGCCACACAGCTGCCAAAACCAAGTCAGTCTCACTACCTCAAGAGGGAAACAATTCATCAAAGCTTACCTTCCGGAGCACTTAAGAACCGTGCATTGACATATGCCGGAATTTCATCGACCCGCTCTTCATCTTGTAAGTTCGCCACCGTCCTATCATGCCCTTTCAAAATGTACTTGAACAAATATTTAATCGCTCGAATACTGACTGACGCCTCTACATTTATGTGGCAATTGTACTTCATCAGTAAAGATCGGTTGTAAGGTACCACTGAACCATTGTCGTAACGGTAATTTCCTCTCTCAAAGAATCGTCCATTATTCGGTCGTTTATAAGTAGGGTAAGCGTCATCGCGGATTGCAGTCGTTTCGAGAAAAGGGCGCGGATAACCTAATTTGCATTCTGATCCGTTCCAGCATTTATAATTTTGACACGGGCCGTGAAGCATGAACTGAGTAACGGCTTCGTATATTCTAGATTCTGTGTCGGGGTCTGGCAATTGAGCCGAGATCACAGCATCAATCTCTCCAGGTGTTTGAGGTCTTGAGCTTTCATCTAAAAACAATATCAAGTGCGCGTGTGGCAAACCGCGTTTTTGAAATTCAATTGAGTAGACGTAAGCTATGCATTTCCCCAATCGATCTCGCTTCGTTACGTCTTCAAGCAATGTTCGGAACTTGATATGAAAGATTCGAGCGATCAGATCGGGTCGATCTTCTGGTAGCTGGCCTGCGTCGAGCGAGTCCAGGACCTCAGGCCACTGGGGATTCGCAGTCATTGTGATGAAGAGCGAAGGGTTACCAAACTCCGCCACTAAGCTCATTGCGTCTTGGTATAGTTGTCTCAAATGACGCGGTCCACCAATGAAGCTCGAGGGTAGCACCACTCGCCTGCCCACAATCTCATCCTCAGCTTCATTACCCAAAGCTTCGATCGCCCCGCTGTAAAGCGCTGCCCGAATCTCCCTTTGATGATACCGCAGGTATTGTAACCGTGAGTGTTCCACACATAGGTACATATCCACTACAAACTCTTGAAACAATCGTCCTGCAGCCAGAATCACTGAAAAAGTTGACCTCTTAAACAGGAGGTACACGAACCATTCTAGATTCGTGATATCGCCTTCGATGTCTTAGAATTCAAAAAATCAATTTAAATCAGTTCAACAATATCATTGACCATATATTTTCATTCTGACTTGGATTAAATACTCACTCTCTTTGGTTGGGTTTGAATACGCATCAGACCAAGTCTGTGAGCCATAAAGGAACAATAAAGGATATCGTAATGCAAAATAACCCGTGTGCAGTTCTGAAATTCTTTGTAAGTCACCACTCTGTCGTCGCAGCACAATGTCGCGAGGATGCGCGCCTATTTGTCCATCACCATCGACTATTGCCGCTACCTCGTGTGCAGTCGGTCGATTATACCGGCGATGATCCCTGCCTGGGGCCGTGATGGTATTGATGCGGATTGTTTGTGTGTTGCCATCATTGCAAATTTGGGCGGCGGTCCGAAACACTTCGACGTACGGATTGTGTTGGTCAAGGAACTCTTGGAACAACATCAAAATTCGCGGCTCGAGTCTTCTCTGACAGCGCCTAATGCGCAAATTGGCCTCGTCTTCATCCCCTTCACCGTGGATAAAAATCTGAGCGAACCCCGGTTCTTGGTCTGGGAGTGGGATAAGTGAACCCATTAAATGCGAAAGTTGACCCGATACTCTGAAAGCATAGACACCGCGTTGCCCGGCCACGCTTTTGTCGATTTTTGCTCCAAGCAATGTGAAGGACAAAGCGTTGTTGTACTTCTGGATGAGAGTCCGAAAATTTTGAGACTCTATCATATTGAACAGTTGGATCTCAACAAAAGTCCTTGTTCGAATCAGGAGCTGAGAAATCAATAAAATTCTCACCTTCATCTGTCCCAGTCAGCAGTTCTTGATAAAATTCAGGCACTTGTTCACCCACGTCCTCCGGAAAATAACGCATCGGCAATTCTACTGCACCCTGTTGGCAACAGTTCGAGTAAGTTGTGGTCAAGTGATTCGCATCTTTCAGACGACGTTCAAGCTTCCATCTAAAAGCTCCACAACCCAAGCAATGATCATCTTGCTGCCCTATGTTGAAAGGTATCTCGTTCGGGAAACGGCGCATCAATGATTGCTCGGTTCCAAGTCCCTCCGAAGGGATTGCTGGGCCCCGCACACGTGCCCTCGGGGGCATATTTATTATCCCTCGTCGTTTAACTTAAAGTAACAAAATGTGGATCAGCTCCCATTTAAAACACCCTGTAGACCCCAAACCCCGTACCAATCTGCAATTTATCCAATCGAAGTTTGATCTCAATGGAATGAACTCCCTTGCTTGATTTCGGAAAGAAACTTCGTAGTTCGAAAGAGTTCTATTCTGCTATATCAATCCGAATGCAAAAGAGGTATCAGACTAATCCTTATTGACAATCTATTTAGGTGCAGATCACTAAGTGATAAAAATGTTCATAACTCACCTGCAGCTTCGTAGTTGTTCTTGTTATAAACAAATAACAGTCGATCTATACTATAATACTGCAATTACGAACAAATCAGAAATAATGTCAATAAAAACGACAATAATGACAGCAATCACAGTAATGATCTGATTGATGATCACAATGATGAACTCACAGTAATCACAGTAATGATAAATGATTATTATAAATGATTTTAAATGATTAACTTGGATTGTTTTCTCTTTTCTTGTTTAGTGCAATGCAACTAAGGGTTATACCACTTAAGCCGCCGCAGAGTCTGATTTAAATAGATATTCTGGTCTATCCAGAGTTCAGTCTACCCTCCTCAATCTGGTTCCGGTTCTTGGTCAAGCGAGCAGATTTTGGAACGGGAGACTTGCTTATTGAAGATCTATAATCTATTCACGTGTTGCATGATTGAGCGAGTCGATTTATCATAACTTCAAGATTGATACCAACTATTATTGCCTTCTCCCCCACTGGCGATTCTCTCTACATACCGCCAGTTCTCGCCAGTGGCCTCTCAATTGCACTCGCTTCTCGAAGACAAAGTGAACCACGCGAATCTGAAAGTCATTACGCACACCCTTTGCCGGCGAATTTGTAGTCCTGATTCCTAATACCGTGGTTGTTTCCTTGATTCGTAAATGCAAAACAGGTAGAGTGTAAGCGTGCCTGTGTTGCATAGCCGAGCCGACCTGATCAGTGAACCGATACGCGTACATTGGAACTCACGAATTCACGGCTACTCGACTCTTCCGATTGCCAATTTGTCATTGTATCCCATCAAGTTTGAATTCTCGGTTCGCCAATGCCAACCCATCAAACATAGATTGCATATCACCATGTGTACAATTTAGCACCATACCGCTTCCTGATTTTACGCGAAGTGCAACCCGTAATATTGGATCTCCACATGAAATATTATTTATCTTCATTTTGTTAATGACCTCCATGTATTAATTTGTTGTTTTCAAATACGCAGTAATTCGTGATCATATAATGAAGTTTTATCTATCTTAATCCAATGGGCCATTCCACTAAACTGAGATCCGTACTGGTGAAAAAAAATTCCAGGCTAAGCATGAATCGAGTTTTTCATGAGGGCGGCAAAAGATTATGTGATTGTTTCGGACATGTCCACACTGATGAATACCTCGGTCTCCTCACCGATAAACAATTGCACTGCAAGACAGGAGTCTTATATTTTGTCGTTGGGCAAAGAAGGACTTATCCAGTTCATATCTGATTAGGTTTCAAATTGGATTAATAGTTCAAAACTGTGGTGTATGTTCACGCACAATATGTTGTGAGTCGTCTACCAACCCGATCAAAGTAGATCTAAAATGACTCAAAAGCTGCAAATCAACACGTCGAGTCTTTCTCTAAATTTCTACCTATAGGGCCAGAAGATAAAATAAATCGGTCAGTACAATTTTTATAGATCAAAACAAAGTACTTTCAATCATCACGCAAGGTCAGAAACGGACGTAATCCAACTGGATTGTGTAATTGGGAGTAATGAAGCAATTTTTTTTTCGAATTCATTAAATTAAAAAGGCAAAAAAAAATGGAAACAATTGTTTCTGCTTTATTGACCACCAGCTAGCCGAGTCAACAGATGGTTTTGAATTGGCGTAAAAAAAGAGACAATCTCTTGACACTGGTTGAAATAGTATAGCCCCAGTCGAAACAAACAGTTCGAGGCCGGCCATTCATAACTTGCAATTTCAAAGCCCGCAACAATTATGCCTTCTGAGATACTGTTAAGCAATCAAGGTCCAATCAGACCCTATCAATACGAATTGTAACCATGATAGTGTAACAAACTTACACTGTTCCGCTTCAGACGGGTATTTCATGAAAACAGACAATCAAGTGATTCGACTTTTGAGCCAAGCATCGCATTCCTGTAGAAGTCAAATTGTATGAGTTCCATGGCAGGTTGACTCTGAGAAGCTAGGAATCAACAATTACTCACCAACACTTCGTTGTATGTCATTTGGCTCCTAAAGTGGCAAGTCAATTTTTGTTTTGCAAAAGCTGCAACCAAATTATCGTCTTGAACACCTTGGCCATCCATCGTCACAAAGATGATATGTTTGAGGTTTATAGGCTGGGAGGCAGGATTTCCTTCCATCGCATTCAACAAACTTTCCCAGTTTGCTTTTGATTCTACGTAGTTTGTAATCAAAATCTTAACGCCTTCAAAGAATGGTGTTCAAAACCATTCTAGGTCCGCAAATTGAATGTTCAAGCAAGTGCACTTTAAGACATGAAGCCGTGGGAAAGGGTACAAAATGAGGCAAGGTGGAACGTGGCGAGGCAGCCCATCAACCGATAGCACTTCAAGTGAATCTCTCAACGCAAAGATTGGTGATGTAGCTCCGTTGATATCGTTGCTTGATGAGTATTCAAGGAATCTGACCTTTGGGACTCCGAGCCGACAGAAATTGACAACCGCATCAATGTTTGATTCATCACAGTCGAAAAACAAATGTTTCATATTCGGCATTGAACCAGGCCTGATGTGCAAACTTTCTAGCGAAAGAAAATTAATTGAAAGTGATTCTAAAGATGGAATTACACTAAGAAGTCCAATGATTGACCTCGAGTTGTGCATAATGCGCCGAGCAGAAACGGATTCAGAGCCATTATCGTGACGCCGAGCGAAAGTTGAGGTGATTATTAGAACCTTGAGATTTGAAACTCCTCGGGTGGCAGACACCATTTCATCAGTAAAGCCAATCGCGCTAATGAATCCTAATTTCAATTCAGTCAAGCTGTCGCCACAAAGTTGTATAAGACGTTGGACATTGGCCATGTCGACCACAGAAGAGGGCCAAGGGTGTCTATGTAAAGCTAACTGGCGGCCTTGGTAGTCGGCGTAAACTTCGAATCCGTCAGAGTAGAAAACATGCCCAATGCTGAGTCTACACAATCCATGCATTCCGATTTCAGAAAATGATTTGTTCTGTCGGTTCAACAAATTGGAAGCCATGAACGCCCATCGCAAGTCGAGCTCCTGGACGACGTAGGACATGATAGAGCGGTCCCATTCTATGCCAAGGACGCGGAATTTCAAGAGAGATAAAGTCGAGGCATGACTAATGTAACCCCGGTCAGAGATGTTGACATGATGGGGAGGAGTTCTTGGAAGGTCCCGATAGAGATGATATAAAATCCTATCAACGATCTCGATTGGCAGGCGAATAGAACTACCCATGGTGTAGCCTTTGTGATGACAGGTGTTCCAAGACCTACAACCAACAGTCACAAACAGCCACGTTTTAAACGGTTGGTCAATCGAGGTTGGGAACCCCATAAAACCCCGTTGGGCTCAGTTCGCCAACGTGAAAAGGCTGAATTCCCAATTCGATCTCCCTCCGTTGTATAACGGCTTGGGGAATGAGTTTGCTGATTTGGCGAATGACCCATAAGATCACATTGACAGACTGATCGCATGATTTGGTCGCGTCGAGGATAAACAAACAAAGCAATTGACATTTGAATGGCGGTAGCCTGAAATTGAGCTGGCCAAGAAGTTTGTATGTGACTTGATCAGTTCGATTTTCCACTGTAATGTGGCATGTGGTGTTGACCGTAAAACTTAACAGTTCGGAACCCGAATCGCTGCCCGAATTCAAGTTAATCCGCAATTAAATTGTGGTTGGTGATAATTGGGTTTTCCCGATCGGCCTCAAAGAGCACTGATACTTCAGGCATTGTTAATTTTACATTTCGTAAAGGATAAATGGTAGCCTGGGTAATCTGAATTTGTAAATTGATGGGACTTACCGTCGAACACAAACTACTATGGACACTATACTCACCATCACTTCAGATTTACAACTTTTTCAAAAGCGAAGTTGTCAGTCGCAATTTGGTTGACCTGAATTGTATGTTGCTTATTTGGCATAACCCAGCATTGCATTTTCCGACTCCGGCCATGGAGTCGGCCTCTGATCCAAAGATTGAAATGTGGAATTGAAATCATTAGGATTTCAGTTTGTCCACAGCGGCTAGCTCTCGTGGCTCGTATTGGTGGGAGAGGAATTAAGATAGATTGACATATGGAGACAATCAAGCAAGGAAAAGTACAATTGAATTGATTAGAAATTTTGATTTGTAGATAGATAATTTTTTTTATATTTATTTATTATGAAGCGAATCGAACAATTTTTGAAATGAAATGATGGCTAGAGTCTCTATGGGTACAAAATTCAATCAATTGTTAGTTGTTGCACACGGGGAACATTTTTGAAGGCTAAAGCGGATATGTCATGTGAGGATACAACAGTGCAGGTCGAAATTTGAAACATATCATGTGATTTTTTTTCGTTTTGACAATAAGACTATAAGAAGAACCGAAATGGATTAAAAATCTGTTTTAACGGAATTAATCGCATAATGCCAAGATTGACATGCAGGAATGTAACTTTTTTTTGATAGCGCGGAAGATGAATAAGTCTAAGAATAATACTATTCAATCTAATTTGGGATGAGAAATAGGATTTGAACAATCCAATTAATTAGTCGTCCGAAGCGATGTCAACTACAGCCCCACTGCCACTGGATCTTCCAGCCTTGGCACGAATGGCACGTGGAGCACGTGGACGTTTACTTGGAGGAGGCGCAGTTGACTTGTTAGATTTTGGGGGGGCACACCCTTTGGTGGCTTTTGGCCGTACCGGCTCCTCTCCAGTTTCCTCAACCTCTGGTTCACCAAATACCTTTTGAGCCGAAGACGCTTGAGATCTGCTTGAGGCTGACGAGAACGAAGTTTCTGTGAACTCAGAAGGACCAAATGGTAAGCTCGACTTTGAGTCAGACGTGATCAAAGGAGACTTGAATGGTGAATTAACCGCTCTCGGATTGAATCTGGCTTTGGGACAGATCAGCCATGATATAAATTGGCAGATTCAAAGCGAGAAACTAACTTTACTGGTTTATTAGGATTTACTTGGGAAGAAGAACCTCCTTCGATGCTCTTCTTCATTCCGCTCCCGTTACCCATTTCGTGTGGCTCGGCATTCCCGCAAGTAGCTGAAACCTTGTTCACCTATTGGCAAAAGTCAGCGATCCGAAGGCATTGTAAGTCTAGCTCAAGATATAACTTACGATGGCAATGTAGCACTCGGTCACTTCGTTGAAATCCTTTATATAGCCATGAAAAAGGCACTCGCGACCCACTCTCATAGTCTTATGACTACCCGCCAAGTGTGGAAATGGTCGAATGCGGTACTCAACCCGGCACACTTGAGCTCTCTTCTTCTGCAAAGGACACATCACAATCAGTCGCAGATGTCATGTCTCAACGAATAGCACTTTAATTACCTCTGGGTGGTAATCCGAGTGCTCGACGGTCACTACGGTGGTCAGCTTATCCAAGCCAGGATTCTTGGGGATCAAGTGTTGAATTGTTTCCTCAAGGATGGTCTCGGTTTTTGACACGCGACCCAAGCCAGTTATACCGACAGTATCAGACAAATTGTGAACAAAACCTTCGTTATGAGTAATAATGCCTCGATCCAAAGCTTCAAAAAACAATTGATCATTGCTAGTGTCTAATCGGTTCCGAGGGAAAAATCCACCACGGAGGTTATAGATATTTTTGGCAAGTAGTTTAAACCCTTTTCCGCTAAATCCTGTTGCTCGAATCTCATATGAGAAACTTCTTGCACGATTCGCTCCGGTGCACGGAATAGATAAGATGTATGTTCTATACGCGGCATCTTTAGTCTGATCCGAAGAAATCTAAAAATGGTAGAAAGAAATTAGAATTGCAGAGAGGAAGGTCCTTGCTCCGGACAGAAATACTGCACCTTTTCTTCTATTTCAAAATTCGCAGACAGGTAGATCCCATGTCCTGTGACAGCGTCCTCGTCAGACATATCAATCGAGTTGGGTACTACACAGAGAGAAGGCAAGTTGCAATGATGTAAAGTTGGAAAAAGAATCCTGATTCAATCCTGGTCCAAGATGATGCTAAAACATTTGAAGTGTCGATCGACGTTCTTATATACTTGTGTCCTGTAAAGCAGGTACCAACAGTAACTGTTATCAGCAACGTATCAGCAACGTATATCAAGCACCGTATAATATGATTCATTACTATCCACTGATGCGAATCCTATATCTCGGCTCCCATGGTGCTGTCAAAGCCGAGTTTAAATTGAACGCTATGCAAAGTATCCTGAAACAAACTGGTATGATTATCGAGAGACCGATTGTCAATGTAAGTTGATCCGATTTTCGCTCGCCGTGAAGGGATAGCTACAGGTTACCGCTTTGTTGCTTCCAGACAATTTTGAAATCTTCCGTCCACAGCCATATTGAAGCGACTTGATTTCCAGACAATTTAATCTCGCAACGAGCATTCCCGGAATGCATGTCCCCAATTCCTGTTTCCGATTACCTGAGTTGTTCAAGAAGCGACATCACATTATTTTACCACCTGGTATTCAGCAGTTTATTCTTAATGATCTAAGATTGCAGTGACAGATGGAGCTAACCGGAGTTCCATCATTGTGATTTTGTTCGCGTGATCAATGGTGGGTACCTGTCGGATTTATTAAGTCAACCGGGGAGTATCCGAGCCGATTCAAGATGGGGCAAGCTCGGCACAATCCGATTTTCGATTCGTGTGCTTATCTGATCTACCCCGGTAATCGTCAGTGACTTCATCATCTGGTTATGCGACACAACACGTTAAATACCTACGTTGGTGAATCTTGATACCCTAAATTTCCTAATTCCAATCAGGTAATACAGATGGAATGGCTTGTCCGCACACCGTTGCATCCTCACTTGATTGCGCATGTGCTAATCATTAGACTGATTGACGCATGCTCCACAATGCACGAACCTCCGTGGAAATTGATTCTACAAAGTGCTTGAAAGAGGAAAGGCGGATCATTAGCTCAAACACTGTAGATTTATGTTGTTTCTCAAATTAAACCTAGTCATCTACCGCCGCAAAGTCAGGCAAAGCAGGAGTTTGTTGGATAATCTGCATTATATGGAGATGACGTGACGCATAACCAGAGTCATAATTACTATCAATCCATCTGCCGAAGAGTTGTGTAATGAGGACAATGTCACTTCAGTCCCTGGAAGTTTGAACAAACAACAGCTGTCGCCAGCACGTAACGCGAGGACTATTGAATGGGTCACAGTAGTACAACTGGCATCACAACAAATTGTAACAAATGCTTGAACAATGTATTTATTAAGACGAAAACATCCTAGCACTGAAACAACCTAGTACTATTGCGGACACTGGACAATTTGAGAAAAGGAAAATTGGTAGGAGGAAAACTTTGCATCTGGAAACCTCCGCTATACTGAGGCTGCGATTGTTCGATTGGTAACTAAGCGCGCTCCCAATGTACATTTTTGTGTGCAACACATCTGCTGATTAAGCCTTTAAGATCAAATGAAAGGATATATCTCAATCGTGGGACCAAGTCGTACTGTGCGCTTCATCATTAAACTTATTCGTCTAGCACTCAAACGTGTAACTCCTGTGCGACATGTGGGAACAGTTTTAGCTGACGGTCTTGAATCGAAGCTGTGAGGAAAACCTTACTAAAATTTCACGGTAGTTCATTTCGCCTCGGAAATGACACATGATTCGTTGCGCTTTAAAAGCTTCCACTATCTCAGAATCTGATACTGCTGCCCAATCTGGTGTGATGAAGATGACATGTTTTAAGGAGATGGGTCTTGCAGAGGAGTAGGTAGACATCGTATTCAAGATTTTTGACCAGTAGTTCCTTGAAGCCGAGTATGAAGTGATAAAGATTGCTACATTTTGAAATACTGGCCAATGAAGCCAAGCGATGTTGTCGCGTGTGCTTTCGGTGTAGGTACATCGTAAGATCTTGAGAAGTGGATACGTAAAATTCATGATCTCATGCGGAAAGTGAGAGCAAATGGCATCTATAGACAGCGCCTCGAGTGATTGATTCAGAGCGATTACAACTGGAGCAGCTTCATCGGCATTCTCGGGTGGAGAATACTCCAATAACTTGATCTTGTTTGCTTGTTGACAACAGAAGTCCGTGACGGCTTGAATGTTTGCGTGGTGACATGAGCAATAGAAGTGTACGGAATGCGAGAGGTGTCAGGGTGACAATGCAAAAATCAAAAGACGAAAATCACAATTCCCGGGTGCGAAATTCAAAAATCAAAGACAAAACTACAGAAAATACTCAAATACAGGGCAAAAACCCCTGTACCGGAGTAAAAGTCATGGCAGAAACCCCTTTCAGACCAGCTTACGGCCCAAATTTCAGTAGATTTACAACTTGAAACTCAACATTTGTCACCCCATTGTCGCATTGACACAAAAAGTACCAGGAAACCACAAAAGAGGACATCAAAATTCAAAAATCAAAAAATCAAAAAATCAAAAGTAGAAAATCAAAAAACAAATGTTGATAATCAAAAAACGACAATTAACAAACCATAAACAAAGACCCCAAAAATGAAAACTTCACATTAGATGATGAAAAGTGTACCTCTCTACCTCTCTACCTCTCAACCAATCACACAACCCACACACCATCACCAATCATCTTAGTCATTCCTCCAACTTTTGTTATAGTCTCCACCCATCCACTTGTTCAACCAAACCTACACTACACTGAACCTCTTTGATCGTCTCCACTCTTCTTCATCCTTATTTGATTGTCTTCACTCTTCTTCACTCTTCTTCATCCTTATTTGACCATCTTTACTCTTCTTCATCCTTCTTTGATTGTCTTCAATCTTCTTTGATATTCTTGGATCGGCTTCACCCTTCTTCAATATTCTTGTATCGGCTTCATTGTTCCCTAGTATTCTTCAATTCTCTTCGATCTTCTTCGATCTTCTTCAATCTTCTTCAATCTTCTTGAATCAGTTTCAATCTTCTTCAATCTTCTTGAATCCTCTTCAATATGCTTCAATCTTCTTGAATCAGTTTCAATCTTCTTCAATCTTCTTCAATCTTCTTCGATCGACTTCAATCTTCTTCGATCGACCTCAATCTTCTTCAATCAGCTTCAATCAGCTTCTTCTTCGACTTTGGTTTCTCTCGGATACTCATATTTCACTATCATGAACCGACCTACTTGTCCCTTATTTCAAAGTACTCTCTGTCAAGGCGAACACAAAATATGTGGACCCTGCCTTGAAAACATCAATGCGGACCGAAACAAAAAGGTTCCTTCTCCCCCCCAGCAGGCACCCACCCAAGCTTCTCAACCCCGCCCTGCCAATCTCAAGGTCATCAATGCCAGAGCAGCTGTTGCAGGGCTTGGAGAACTTCTCTACCCAGCACGAATGCAACAAGATATGCAAGCACCTGGGGTTGCTACCGCCAAAGGTAGCAAAATTAAGTCTACGGGAGGAGATGGAGCTGTTGTATGGAGGTAAGTCTGGGGAACAGACTCATATTCCAGCAAGAGATTAGCACAAGGCGGAAATTCAGGAGTAAATTCTTTCCTTTCAATCTGTATTCCAAAATTTGTTGCTCTTAAAAAATTCAAAAATTTACAAAAACCCTTTGCTCACAAAATTATCATCTTAAAAACAAAAAAAAACATGTATATATCATTTTAAAAATCTGAGTGCTGAACCTTTTGTTTCCTTATAAGAAGTAATCTTATTCTGAAGATGGTCCAAATTGGCCCGTTTCCGTTGCATCTGCTTATCGTAGGTCTCTGCAAGGCCGCTGTGCAATTTTTCCCAGCTCTCATCATCCAAACCAACCCGCTGTTCCATAATCTCCTTCATTGCTGCCACCACAGTGGTACTGATCTGAGTGCTACAAGCATAAGCAAGTACATGGTCTACCGCCCCTTTACTCTTTCCAATCCCTTTTCTTGCCTTGGTTTTTTCCCTTGTTACAGCACCCTGCAAGTATGTTGTCTTTTTTTTTCTCCTTCAGAAAATAAAAAATGTTTGGTGTTGTGGCAAACATCTGTCGCCCACAGTAATTCTACCACATCAGCTGCATTGATGTCTACAATAAACTTGAAATAGTGACTGATGTGAATTACAAACTTGGCACCAACTTGGGGATGCTTCTTATCAATGCGGTGTCCAGTCTTCTTCTCTAGTTCAATTTCTTCCTTCCTCTCGGCCAAAAGTTCAAGTCTTCTTGCTGGAGTAACAATTTCAGCTGTAATAGATTACATATGTCAGCAGATTGGTCATAAGGCTGTGAATATTAAATACTCAACATGTGTTCGCATCAATTAAGCAGAAGAAACCTGAAGCAAATCCGGTGGCATCAAAGTCACAATGAACTCCGTTGCGGAATCCTCCAGTGGTAGCAATCACATTGGATCCCACAAAAGCATTGTCCCCAAAGACTTGGGCATTGGGTGATTTCTCCCACTCTTTGCTACCAGGCACCGGCTCTTTTGATCCCCACGACGGGGCATCAGTGTCTTTGGCCAGCTTCTTGTTGGAATCATACACAAATAGAGATAATGAACATGTCCTTTCAGCATGAAAGTCCACTACCCAAGGAAGTTCATCTTGGCGGGCTTCGTCCTCGTCTAGTTTGGCTGGGTCCTTGCTGGTAGATGAATTTTGGGCATAGGTTGCTGGTGTTAAGACATTGAACAAATTAAGCTTCTGAAATGTCCTCCTGTGGAAAGGTGAAGATAAACAAACCAATAACTGTTCCTCTTTGATATTGTCCAGCACGCTTAGAAGATCTGTGACCAAATGCTTTCATAGTACCTTGCCGCTCGTGGGGCGGTAGCATCTTGACTGCATGATTTTCCTTGATCACTCCCCGTGCTTCAGAATGTTGATGCATGATCTTGATAGCCCTTCGAAAGTCTTTCCAAAGTTGCACTTGGGCAGGGTCAATGCTGGCGGGGTCCTGCAGCAA